CATGGAATAATATTTTTGCTCACCCTGTACATATATATATATATATACTGATTCGTGAGTCATGTGTAAGCGTGTTTCATCAGTGTTTTGCAATTACTTGCTGGTTTCAGAGAGTGGATGCGTTCTCCTCCTCTTGCCATGTGACAGAACGAGTAAAAGATTATTATCGGTCGGTTAGTATCACACTGAAATGTAATGTGTCGCAAGAAATGTTTCGCAAGAGCCAGCAATTGAATACGTCACTTTGTGCGCTCGATGTTACAACTGGATGTGTCGCAGGAAACTAGCACGATGTTATATGTCATTTAGGCTTCGATTAATTTTATTCTTTTTATGGATTTTTCGGATGTTCGCGGTTTTAAGAGAGCTATTTTAGAATTGAACCATCACTTGAGGAATGGTGTGGGTTTGGGTATTGGTACGTCACTAGACATGAACTTTTGATGATTGTATATATCCTCTTTTCTTGAGCCAACAACACACCCAATATCTTATTGATTTAAATCCTAAATAAAAAAAAATAGGTTTATTTATTTGAATAAAATACTGACTATTGAGTTTTTCATTGAGACACATCAAAATAAAAATAAATAAACATATTGATTTAGTTAAGTAACTTGTTATTGAATACGATGATGAAAGCAATCTGAATAAAAATGTTATTAATTTTGTTACAAGACAGTAATCAATCGATTATATTTCATAAGAGGTTGTCGAATGACGATTCGAAGACTCCTATATTTATACAATGAAAAACAGTGTGAAACAGTAAAAAAAAGAGAAAAAATGAACGTATGCAGGAAATTCAAATGTTGTATGATGGTAAACAAAACTCATCATTTAGTTTGCATGTAAATTTCTATTTTTAGAGCAGCGTCCATGATCTGCATGGAGTCTTAGTAATGATTCCTGTATACAGAATAGAGGACACGGTTTTGAACAAGTACGACAGTTATATAGTTTTAGTGGACAAGCGTTTGTAGAATATTGTACGAATAGAAAACAACAAACAACCGTTACACATATTCCATATCTGTCTCTTATAAATTTACTTTCTATCACATTCTGGTATTTGAATCATTACCATTCTGAACGACATATAGCAACAAAATTAAATTTCGGTCGATCACCAGTGATTTAGTTTTTATCAGTGATGATAGATATTTTATATTCCTGTATTTGCCCGAAATTTGTTTTATTACCTGACAATATAGATGATGAAACTACAATTCATGGAACTGAACAACATCACAAGCTAATGATTGTTTCGACTTTTATTGCAATTCATCAGTCTGAAGATGCGGAACAATGTAAAACGTATTATCATGCAAAAGTCCAACAAATTATGCATTCAAATTCCAAACAGCTTGTGACTTTCATCGTCGAATAGTACATGTATCGAGATGTTTTCCACGTAGTGTACATATAATATTACGATTCTAAGAGAATCAGGTTTATTAGAACATATAGAAGAAGATGTGCAAATTATTGCTGATAAAGGATATATTGGTGAACAACATGTTATTACTAAAAAAAAAAACATCTCGTGATGGTGAATTAACAGCTGAAGGTAAAGATTTCGATCAATCTATTTGCAACGCAAGAGCAGCTATTGAAAGCATTAATCAATGTCTTAAAAAATTTGCTATTTTAGGAAATGCTTATAGAGGACCTAATGATGATATTGACAAAATTTCTACAATTGGACATATTGTTTCTGCACTATGTAACCTTAAATTGTGTAAACATCCTATTCGTAATCATAGATCATGATATGTCATTTGTAGTTTCTGATCGATTATTTGGATAAAACTACATTAGTGATATTTCTTGTGGTTTCAAATACTAAGTACGATTTACAAAAATTTTGATTAAAGAAACGTTTCAGGAATGGTTTTACGAAAAATTCTTGATTATTTTGGTTTTTTAAAAGATATATAACCCGGATAATGAGAAGTCACTAGCACTAGATAAGTACTATAACTGGTAAAAAAATTATTCTTCTGATGTAGTATAGAAGTTAAATGAAAAAAAAAAGTTAGACCCTCTGGCTCTGGCTGACCACCTATATATATAGCCTATGATATGATGTGAAGAACGACGAATTTTCGGGTGTATTGAAACTGAAAATGATTGGATGAAACTTGCACAGAAAATTAAGTTGAATTTCTGATTTTGATTACACTTGAATCGATATTTGACACTAAATTACTCTAGAGTTATTTATAAAACTATCGCCATCTATAATTTATTTTGGTTCAAATCTCGAAAATAGTTTGTTGTCAAATGCTGCGTCTTACACTTGTAGAATTAGAAAAATAAACTTGATTTTTGGTGCAAATTTTATCCAATCGTTCAGGTTTTTACTAAACTCAAAGGTAGCATCCTCGTGGTAAACAGATCGCATACTTAGACGGATTGTTGATTGAAGCAAAATCACGCAAAAAAATAATTCATGCTATTAAAAAAAGAGCCATAGCATGTGTTTCTTGATTTGATGTTTCATAGCAACGAACATCAATCAATTAGTGATGAAGAGAGGAATGAAATTCATAACATTCTAATATTGACCAAATAATAATTGTTAAATATTAAATTTATCTATATGCAAATGTTTTTGTAATAGTATTAAATAATTCATCAAAACTTGACGATTAATTTGGAGTTGTTATAATCGCAATACTTGAGCACAATCGTAAACAAATGATAATTATCGCATGATTCATGCTATCAGCATACATTCATAGGCAATATGCTATCAATATTGTACTATTCTTTTTATAGTATACTACGTCATAACATGTAATTATCGGGTGATCACGCATGTGACTATTGCAAAGAGTCGTTAATTTTTTTTTTCGTAGATAACTATATTCACTTTCATTTGCTTGTTGATTTCGTTAGGGAACGCAAAAAGAAGAAATTATTTTCTTTTAAGCATATCAATTTATATTTCGTTACAAGCAAGTTGATTTTATAATCATATATATTTAGATTCCTACTACCATAATTTTCTTGTTTGAACTATTTGTTTTCAAGGTGCTATGGGTATTTTTACATACTATAAGGTTGGCGCCATGTTATACAATGCTTATGAGGATGGTTGGTTCGATCCTTTGCTCAATGGTGTCGCCAATAATTATCCAAAATATTATAATAAATTTAATCGATATCTGCAGTATCCCATGGGATATCCTTCGTACCGTTATACTCATACTTCACCAAGATTTAGCCCTTATTAATATACTGAATTTTTCTTTATTGACAGTTCAAAAATATTCATGTAACATTTTTAATCATTTAATAAAAACCTTCTAAATGATATAATGTTGGTAACAGTTTTAGTTAAGCACATTTGTATTATCTTTACTAAAGTGCGCGGGCTTATTCGATTTTTGCAACAATATTTTGTCGGTTCGCATCTACTCAAAATATCAGACTGCTGCAACGAACAATACTATAGGTTTAGTTACTGTGAGACATTCTTTATTGTCATAGTCAATTTTTTCGACTTTATAATCATAGCATTTAGTATCGAAATGAAATTTCTAACAAACATTCATGAGATGTTCATTTTGTATGTCAAGGTCTTTTTATTCAAATAACGATGTTCCAAAGAGAAAGAAGGGTATGGGAAGTTATGGTTGTGAATGGAAGGTTCATAATTACACTCAAAAAATAATTATTATTCTTATGATTGCCTTTTTGATGATTACTATGGACTCATTGCTAATATACTAGATAGAGCCGGATAGTCTAAGCCATCTTCTTCACTTATTGCTTGATTTTTATTTGGATTGGTTATCTATTATCCGTTTGGATTGACAACTGTCATATTTATAACATCACTTGTGCAAAGACTGGTGCTGTCAATCTGTGTCTTCGTTTTAATTATCTATCATGTTGAAAAAAGAGTTCACAAAAATTAGCCATTGTGCTGGATTCTTAGTAAACTAACGAAACGTTCTACTAACGATTGAAAAATAAGCAGTATTGATTTAATCTCAATATTTTCTGATGTTCAACTGTTAGAGTTATCACGAAGAGACAAATAACATAAATGTTCGATTTTCACGTCGAGAAAATTTATTTCATCTCACTGTTCTCTATAATGAGCCACCATCGTTTGAATTACGCAAAAATTAATCGACATGCCATGTGTGAAAAGTTTTTTTTTCAATCCTTTGCTTTTTCAAGTAACAACAAGCGTTTCTATCGTCAGTTAAATTCTAAAGAGAAATGAAAAATGTAAAACATATTTGCGATAGCAAAAAGAACACTTTCTTTTAGTCAAGCCATATCCTCTAACAGAGTATTACAAAAATAAATTTGAATCATTGGAAGTTACTTCGTAAGAAAAAAAAAACGTTGAATGAGTAAGTAGTTTTTCATCATTATAAAGGTGACCGAAAAAAACAAATAGTATATTCAAAACGATTCACGTTAAATTCAACCTTGATAGAATATCGTAATCGATGCTTTCCATCGCTAATCAAGAGATAAAACAGAAGACCCATTACACATTAATGAAACCCCAAACATTTTAAAAACATTTCACATGATTGCATCAGTAGTAAGTAAATTAAAGTTGAAAACAAAATAAATTAGAAACCTATTTCGTTATGTTTCACAAGAAATTTTTTTTCGTCGATCTGTCAATTTCAGATTCTTTATTAAACAATGATAAATTCAAAATTTACATGTTCACCATTAGTTGATGATGATATATTTAGTTGTAGCTTGGTCACCAACAGACGAGGAACTTCGTCGAATAAAGGAACTCCAAGAATATGAACGACGGGGAATCGCTTTTGAACAATTTCTTCAATTCGGATCTGGACATGAACCAAGCGTAGTATTGGATGAATTTCTCTTCTTAGGGAACATACATCATGGATCCAATTTAGATTTACTCGAACGATTTAAAATCGGTAAAGCAACATGCCAATAGACCTATACTTTTCTAAACTTGGAGATGAACTGTTTTTTTCTGTGAATGCTATCCTCGAAATAATTTCTTTCTGAAAACAAGATACTTTTCGAGATAAAAATATATAGAATTGACGTCCCAAGTATCTACATATCAAAGTCATGAGCATAACTTTCACTTTGAAACTGTTTTTTTTTCGAAATTTATGATGATCCCTTCCCATCATGGCACAACATTGTAGCTAGAAGGCATTTCAATGATACTCAAATGAATTTTGAATTGATACGTAATATAACCATATTTAGTGCTGATATCAGAAAACTCTTCAACTAAATATACATGAGAACAAGTGGTTCTTACATTTTTCTGGAAACTGGCTTATAGATAAATATTGCATTCTAAGGGAAACTTACTTGAATACAATTCGTCTTAGCGAACTGAGTTTTTTATTTAATAGACAGATGTATGTGAATGAAAAGAATTTTCACATTGAAAGATATATAATTTCTTTTTTTTCTTTTCTCACAACATATCATTAATGTAAGTGAAACGGATGTTAGTGACAATTTTCCTCAAAATCGTTTTGATATCATTTACATTCCAATAGATAATGATGTTCGAACAAATATTAAACAAGTATGTGGAATAAAGTATGAATTTACTTTTTATTTCTTTTATTTTTCTGTAGCATTTTAATCGTACCAATGAACTATTACATAGTTATTACATGAAAAATGAACGTTGTCTCGTTCATTGTGTTGCTGGTAAGTTAAAAATTATTTTGATTCCTTTGTACAGAATTTGTAAAATACGTTAAATACTTCAACTTGCTGCTCTCATTTTCTTGGAAAAAAAACACCCTAATTTTATCTCTATTTAAGGTGTTTCAAGATCAGCGACGGTTATCTTAGCGTATTTAATGAAAGTAACGTATCTTCAGAGTCTATAAAGAACATATTATTGAAATTCTGTTTTAGTATCATCATAATACGCTTACGGAAGCTTTTCATTATCTCGTTGAAAAACGTCCTCAAATATGGCCCAATGAAGGCTTCATGATACAATTATTACGCTATGAAAATAAACTTATTAAATCACGCGAAATTGTATTAACTTCTGCAGCAAGTGAAACATCTCTCTGTACTGCTGCGTCGTCATCTAACGAAACAAAAAATTCTATTGAAACATTGAAGGAATTCAAGAAGAAAGAACAAATATAGATATTTGCAAAATAATAACCAATTGGACATAATCCAACAAAAAATAATATTGTTTAGTCTCATCCTGTGCGCATATTGTTCAATAAACAGTGATCATAAAATAAAATTCTTGATAATTATGTTTGCACGTGTATTTTTACTACTTTGTATTTCAACAAGAAAGAAATTTTATGCATCTATCGTATTCTAGACTTTTTTGTATCAATCGTATCAAAGATAGAGATGAATGAAGTTAAATATTTGGAGAAATCTTGTTCTTTAAAGAATACTTCATAGAAAACGATGAAAATATTTCATATGTAAAAATTAAGTCCATGACACGCACATCTTATTTGAGATGAGCACGATCTTGATCGTAAGACGAACGGATTGATTCTATTTGAAGTTTTTCAAATCGATCTCTGTTCCATTTTGATTTTAGCTGAATTCATGCCATTGGAATAAGTAACAATGAAAGTATTCATGTAAATTTTCTTGTTTTTCTTCGTCTAAGAAAAACAAATCTTAGAAAAATTAATTACATCATGCAGTGTATGAAAAGAGACATGTACCTGATCATCAACTAAAGCGAATTCCACACAACATGAATGCTTCTAGTTTATTGACACGAATGAAGTAAAATCATATAACAAATAGAGGATATGGAGTTAAATCCACAAAGCTTATCACTCCTTGATAGACAATCCCAGGTCGTATATCATATCCAAATGAGGGTGTGTGTGGGTGAGATAAAAACGGTCTAATCCCACATACACCTTCTAGATCATCCACAACCACATCTACAGTTTCGAATTTGAATAGGATGAGAATGAACACAATACCATTCACATATACGATGCAATAAATGTACGTTTTGATGATTCATACATCGTTACATGATATCATGACAATTTCTTATTTCAATGGGCGTTTGTAATTCAAAAATAACAGCCAATGCACAGTCACATTCTAGTAGTAATAGACATTCGTAAATATTTTCGGTGTGTTCCGGGTAATTATAGATATGAAACATTTCCTATAATAATCATGGTTATAGCCACATGTATAAGAAAGATCGTTTATTGAATTCATTGAGGTATGTATGTCTTTCTTTGACATGTTTTATTTCTTTTATTTTATTGTAGTTATTCCATTCACTCTAAACTCTAATTCTTTGTATACATCATTCAACGTCAATGACCGAGAGGGTTTATATACACTGCATGCATTAAAATGATCTATATTGGTTAAACAATCGTGGCATGTTTTATGGCTAAATAGTCACTAAAATAATGATACAGATCGCGTACTCGAATCATACCTTGTTGATAGGCAAGCGTGAGTGTCTAAGAAAGTAGCTGTCGATATAGGTGATGTTCTTCGTTCCTTTATATCCCACATCCACATCCCTATATTGATTAATTGAAATGAGTTCTTAACGTTTGAATGATTTTCTTTCTCATACTTTTTTAACATATTAGCAAGAAATGTTCCAAGATTGTAATATGGAGCATTGTACATTGCAATAATTGGTCTTCATGGAAAATCGGATTCATATACCTTCATTGTACAATAAAGCAATGAAATCGAGCTGTCCAAGGCAATTAATTCGTTATATTCTTTTCTTATACTTTTCTTTTGTTGATTCATCATTTTCGAACCTTCTAAACTTCTATGGATCTTACAAAATTTAGTTTACTTTACCTATATAATCACTTTTGTCCGTGCATACTAATGTATTACATGTGTCAGCTCGTAATATAACTAATGATTTGCCCATTTTTAGTTCTTTTAATGCAATTCGTTCTTCACCACTTAATTTTTTCGCAAGATGGTTCCCAAGAGATGTTTCTCCTCTTTTACATACTTTCAATTTTTATTAATCCAAATTCAATTTTTTTTTGTATATTGAAAGGTTCCATGACGTTCTCTTCTATACAAATTTTCCAATCTCTGCTAAGTAATTCCAATTGTGAAATTCAAAGTAATCGTGACAATAAATGGTAAACTAATTTTTTCAGAGGAACAAGAAAAGCTTGTGTATGATCACCTACAGCATCAATTAACATAGGAATTCTTATCTCGTTTAAAATTTTGACTCTAGCTATCATTG